CTTGAAATCCTTATATTGAAAGCATCTCTTCCAAGAGAACTTCCAAGACTGAAAACACCTGTGAAGCAATGAAGCAGAACCAATCTTCACTGAACAGACTTGGAAGTATACACAGAGAGGCCAATGCCTTCCCTGAGAGTGGTCACCAAGACCAGAAATTAGATTTTCCTAACTCAGTGATTCTCAAACTTGGCTGCTTTTAAAACTCTACAATACACAGGCCATACACCAAACCAAGAACTGTAAATCTAAATCCTCATGGTAAGACAAAAACATTTGTACTTTTTAGTACTTCCCAGATGATTCCAACATGTAGCCATGCTTGAGAACCACAGCCCTACCTCTTATCCCAGAGACTCCACACTGCCAAAGAATGATCCCTGGTTCAAACAGTGGGAGGTAGCCTTTAGTCTCACTCTATAACTACTAGGAAGGAAGAATGGCCCACACTCATGGATATATCTTTTCTGAAGACAATGCCTAACCTGGAAGATGGCTCCTTTCCCATCATAGGCATCTGATTCAACGGGCTAACCAAGACCAGTCACCGGACAATTCCTTTCCCTTATCATGAGAAGGACAGGCCATCCTCTATGCAGCAGACAATACGTCCCTTTTCTCTGTAGTTGTGCGATATATAAAAGGATATTAAATTTATATATGTAAATTGAAGCTTCTACTCTTAAATAGTATCTCCATACAGAAAAATATATGGCTTTAAGTTAAAGACATGCTTGTTTAATAAGATGATGTACTAAGTTTTCTGACATTGGTCTAATAATCTAGCAAATTGGGTTCACTTTCTAGCTGGCTGTTGCTTTGAGGAAGTCATGGCAAAGTTCCACTGCTTTGCTTCATTATCTGAGAAAGGGTATACTAATCAAAATATCTGCCCACAAACTCTGCCTTTCTGAGATATGAAGAAGCCAAATTAGATTACATCTATTGGTTCATAAGCAAATATCTATGAAAATAAGGTGAGTGTCACATTATTAAAATTTTCTCACTTAAATATAATTCTAGATAACTCATAGAGCCATGTGATTCCAAGACAAAGAAAGATAAAAATTCCACCACCTCTTTAGAAAAAGAACGTTGGCTGGTCATTGATTTAGCTGATATTTTACAAGAAGCATTTTATGAGTTTAAAGATGATTGTGGGGAGGAGAGTGAAATTAAAGGCACTGGCTGCCTAAATGGAAGTTAAAGCTGGCGAATACTATGGCTCTCTGGAAAAATGAAAAGAA